CCGGGGAGGCCCTTGTCAGGTAATTTTTAAATCTACATTGATAGAAATGACATAATTTTTCAGTAATCCTATATTTCCTCAAATCCACTGTCTTCCTCTTCCCAACATCTAATAAGCTATATCAGAAATGTTTCTTAAATGTAACTATCCCTGTCTTTCCTGTAACCAATCCTTCAATATAACCACTTCCCCTTACATTAATTCTTCATATTCAGTATTATTTTTCTAAAATATTTTATAAAAATATTGACATACTTACATTAAAACAACACTAAATAGAGCATTTATTGATTTCTCATTCACAAATTGGAAAATGATATGCACATTCATAAAATATAAGGTGCGTTATAATATGATCCCGTTCTACTCCTGCAGCTCTATTTTATAGCACTTCAGCATACAGGATTTACCCATATGTCCCATCTTTTCCATGATATGCCACTTCTGTGCATTCTTACCTTCTATTCCCCAAACCTACAATTCGTATCCACTTCCTAACTGGCAAAGTTATAGATATTTCAAGTTTCTTCTCAAAGTCATGTAAGCTTTCCTGCTCCTCTGAAGGTAAAATTCACCTCCCTCTTTCAGTACTTGCATCAGTGCTGATGTCTGACATTGTACTTGTTACAAGCTCTTTGGCCTTCTTTGCTTTGATCATTCATTTATTTATGTCCTCCATTAGACTGAACTGTCCTGAAAGCACAGTGTGTTGTCATTTTCTTTTACACACAGAGACTTTGGAAAGCAGTTTGCGTCATTCTTGCTACATAAATGTCTATTAAGGGAATGAGCTGAACTGAGCACATTTACAGCATACTGCACTCAAGTCATATGTGCGTATCTGGATTTGTGTTTAGGCTGTATATAAAGGACCAAGCTCTTGTAACATTTTGGGGGAGTGGGCTCCGAGCATGTTTTCTAAAAAAGTCATTGATATGGAACAAGTCATATCACATTATGATTTTATTTATATTCATCATTTCTGCCCAAGGCTACTTCATTCCTTTCCTTATGAATTTGATGTAAGCAAAAAAGGTATTTTTTCTCCCTTTGGTTATAAAACCATTACTTTAAATTACATATCCTTAGAATGCAAATTATTTATTGTTGAAATTTATATCTTACAGATAGAAGGGTTGATCATGAACAGGAATGTAACTAGAGCTATTTAACTGACTCCTTCAAATTCTGTATACACATTTTCCCATAAACGTGAAGTAGTGTAGGGGAGAGCATTTATTTATCAATCAACTTTTCTATGCTTCTACTCCAACACTTAATGATAATTTCCCACTTTCCTTCATTTTCTGTTACCAATTATCTAGGCATAGAGGTCACTAGAGCATGACCCTGTGAGGATGTTCTGACTTCTGATGATTCTTCTGGCTCCTCTCTGCTCTTTAGTACTATATAGAATCAGCACAGTTTAGATAAACTTGTGAAGTCCTCCTTATTCCAATGACTACTAAAGAATGTGCCACCAGAATAATGTGACAAGGAGCAGTTTTGCATATGGGA